TGTCAGGCTTCCGTAGCGGGCATTGGCCCACTGGAAGTATCCGGGATCGCGGTGGTAGACCTGGGCATATGTTTCTCCTTTGTGCTTCTTTCCCCAATTGATTCTGACTTGGCCCCAATCCCCAATTGTCATCTGCCGAGTTCAATGGCAAAACTGGGACTGCCGGACTCACTTCCAGGCGACGTCCATCGATATCCACAATCACCTCCTCCTCGCTTTCCTCCAAGACTTGCCAGTTTGTCACACGGCTGGAGACCACAGTTGCTGTCTCCGGTGCTGTGCTCTCGCTCTGACGTTGCAGTGCTTGAGACACTCTCTGAGAGGACATTGACAGGCAGTTCACATCTTGAATCCTTGGCATGAGGGCAGCTGGTGGTGCCTTCGGAGCAGGACGCACGGGTGAGCCTTCTGTTGGCATTGAAGCGCCAGTTGAATCTCGGGCAATCTGCAGATGGCTTCCTTGGGACATGAGGCTCTGTAACATCATTCGTTGATTCTGCAATTCTTGAACCATGCTTGAGAGTGTATTCATCATTTCCGGCGGATTCTCGGGACTCTCGGGGTGCATCTCCAACTGCTGAATCATGAACTGAAGCAACATGGTCAGGAGACTCACTACGGCTTCCGCCACAGTGCGCAGTGAGCCCATCATGGGAGCAGTTGGCATATTTGTCAACTGGCAACGGCGGATCAGGCACAGATAATACGGCAGGTTTGGATGCTGGCTTAGCCAAAGTCAGCGCGATATTTTCCACATGTGTTTCATTCTTTGGAACTTCAGGCGACAACACAGGACCCTGTGAACAATTCACTCCCCTCGATTGATCACTCCATGAATTGTCAGGCTTTGAAAATGATTTGAAAAAACTGATTGATGATGGCGAAGCACACAGCTGACGAACATCAATGAGATACAATTCTGTTGCATTCAACTCAAGTGGAATCCGTCGATCAAGTCTTTGCAAATAGCAGGTATCGTTGGTAGTGTCCAAAATTCCCCCGAGTTGCTTGAATGCCCTTTTACTGAACAAAAATGGTGTACTCCCAGGCAAAACTTCAATTGTCAAAAGGAGCTTTCGGCCGGTTTCTTGGGAACTTTGCATGTGCATTTGAACCTGATATTCACTCTGGAGGGTTTGGTTGTTTCCAAAACGAAATTTGACTTGACTGGGCTTCCTACGGATCTTCTTCTGAAGGCTCTCTGGCAACTGTTCAAACAACTTCAGCCACACCCTTTCGCCAATGACACATCGACTGGCTCCTGTATCTAAAATGGCATGACATGGCTTGTTGCATGACGCGGCCAAATTGCAAACATCTGGCAACGGTTCAGGCTGTTTCCAGGCTCTTGGAACACTCAATGCAGGGCTTTGCCGGTCGGTTCGGCTGCCGTTCACTGGGAAAACATACCTGGGCAGTGTCGGATGCTCTGGCTGGCTGTGGACGCCAGCAAACACTTTTCGGATCCTATCCCTGAGTTTGTTCTTTACCACGGGATCATGCAATGCTTGTACAACATAGGCATCATGTATGGTTTCATCTTTCTTATGGTGCATGGGCATGGAGTACAAAACATTACTTTGAGACATGAAACCCTGGACATCTTCGGCTCCGGAGGGCAAGGACTCGGGTTCAGAAAGGACTTCATGAACATCGGCAACGGGCATCTCTTCGGCTACGTTGGCGGCTGCTGTGGAATTCATGTCAGGTGCTTTGTCCCGGTTAGGACACTCAGCTTTCCAGTGGCCCTTCTGATGGCAAATGCGACACGTGGATCGGGCGATCCTAGAGAGAAGCTGCTCCCTTTGACGCTTCCCCTTTCCACGACCCTTGAACTTGCCACCTGCTTTGCCACCCTTGTCACCAAACTTCACAGGCCAAAAGCCGCGGCTGCGGCGTTTTTCCAGCAGTTTGGAACGTGCCTCCAAATAGGAGACCATCGCATCATGCATATCCGGAACATCCTGCAAGAACTCCTCAAGCTCTTGTTCAAAGGAGCTTACTGTCAAGGCATCCGAGTCCTCAGCAGCAATCATGATGTCCATGAACTCGACATCGAGGTCAAGGTCGGGCTCCTCAGTCAAAGTCACAAAGGCACGCTCTGCTGACACATCATCAAAGGACCGGGAGTCATAGTCAACCGTTTCGGACACATTGACATCATAGACCTTGGTTTTGGCACCTTGGCGATTCCCTTGAACCTCTGAGAAAAACTTACTTCCAAGCAGTCGATAGGACTTGACAACTGGGTTGTATTTCAATTCACCAGAGTGCTCAAGAAGGATTCTCTTCTTGTCTTCGGCGGAGAGCAACGATTGCCTGAGAAGAACATAGGCCTGCACCTCCTCAAGCTTTGTTCCACGATTCAACAGCTCCACAAAGCTGGCTTCCATTCTGGACAGGAAAGAATCATGGGATTCATCACTCCTTTGGACTGTACCATACAGTGCTTTTTCGAAAAACTCATATCTTTCTTCAAGTTCAGTGGCACCCCAGGAACCTCCGATTGCATCAACCAAAAGGGCTATGCCGGTCTGATCATTGACTCGAAGCTTTGCAGGGTCCAATCTGGCTACCTTCTTGAAGGCCGTACCCTCCACAAGCAAGGCTGCTCGTGGTGCGAGCTGGCTAAGGTGGTCGGTTGGCCACATTGCAGCTAAAAACTTCAGTTTCTGAACATACTCCTGGACATTGGTCACCCCTGGTGTGAACTTCGGTATGCTATTCCATGGGAGCTGCTGGACAACGGGACTTGGTTCGTCCCCAGGCACTGGTGTTTCGATTGCAGTCTGCACGCTACCGCTCATTGGTCCTGGATCTCACTCCTTCAGCAAAATTGTGCTCGAAGGAGCAAATGGAGCTGGAGCACCGGGCTCCGCTACCAGTGTGATTGGCGTGGAACCAAATCACCCTGGTAGCTGGCAATTTCCCAAATTGCAAGTAGTCAAAAATGATAGATGGTCCAACCTTCTATGTGATATTCAACCAGATACTGTAGAGGGGCCCTGCCACACTCCCAAACCGCAGCTGCACCGCAAATGTTTCCCCGAAACACTATGGCTTTCGCACCGATGGTGTCCAACACCAAAATGCCGCAACCACAACCCTCCGCTGGTGCTTGGGCAGTCATGGGACCGGCATGCAAGGCAAGTCACATCAAGGTAGGCATGGATACATGCATGAAAGTTCACAGCCGCATAAATATAAATATAGATATAGATATGAATATGAATAAACGAATAAATACACTGGTAGGACAAAAGTTGCGCTTGTTGAGCTTCCCACAGTGAACATGTTTGGTTTCTTCTTCTGCACACCCTTTCCCCGTAGAATCCTAGCATGGAGCTTTGTCGTACTCCGGTCGCATTTCCACCCTCCAAAAGTTTTATTTAAAATCTTATATATTTAAAAGAGGGTGATAATTGACCGTCCCACACCTGCCACACAAAACGGACTTGAAAATATGACCCGCAGTTGACCGAGATGGATGTTTTGTAAAGCTTTCAAGAAGCATAAACTTTGTTCCTCCTGAAGTATATATATATGCCGCACATATGCCATATATATATATGCAATTTAATATATGTATGACAATTATGACACATGGTTATATGTATATATATATATTATATATATATATATTATATATATATTATGAATCTGGATAGATTAAAACGACCTCACTGGGACCTCACTGGAACAATGCTTAGTAGGGACAATTATCCAAAGAAGAAACCCTATTTCAGGTTAGTGAATGATACAATTTGTCCAGATATGTCCAGATGCTTCGTCTCCCCATTCCCTGTCATCAGGAAAGTTTAGGGAACACGTCATCAAAATACCATGCTGGAAACCCATTTCTATCTTTGGCAGTGGGGATATATTACTGTATATTATATGGTGATGGGGCTATTCGGTCCATGATTTCAACTTTATAAATGTTCAATGGGTTTTTAACTCCCCAATGACAAGCAGCAAGCATATTCAGAAGGTGAGGCCACCAATCCGGCCAAATTGAGGCATTTACTATTTGTCTTTTGAAAAAGGCATGCATTTAGTGGATAGTTGTTGGCTATTTGATGTATAAGCCTGGAATTTAAGGGGTGTATCAGTGTATCCACTCATTATCTGGATTCAACCAACCAACCCCTTTCAAAGGCTAATAGCAGATGGTTAGTAAGCCCTCATGAATAATTCAGCTCATTGGCAATGTTAATGGATGGATACTGGGTATGTAATGGGTGCTCACCTAGCCCATGGTATTTGATGGGTGGATGGGCCGATATATAACGACAAGCTATCCCAGCAATAGATGTCCCTTTTTTGAAAAAAATGGTAGATTTGTGGAGGGGGTCACCCTTAAAACCATGGTGGGAACATTCCTATTTTGCGGGATGTAATTCCGAAGTTGTAGATGGCGCCCAGGTGATTTCCCATTTGAAATTTTCCGGTACGGTCGGTGTGTTTTACCATTTTTATCCCTGGCATCAAGCCATCCTTTCCCACAGGGGTCTGGGCCCAAGTTGCTGGGACCTGGGAAGTTTCATGGGTTTCCTGGATTCCAATCTTTTTACACTCTGGTAAACATACAAAATGCTATTGAACATGGCCATTTACTTCGTGGATTTTCCCATGAAAAATGGTGATTTTCCATGGCAAAATGTAAACGTTTACCAGAGGGTAAAGGTTATTCTTATGGCCATCAGAAATCATCAGATTCCAGTTTGAAATGATGGTGAATGTTTTGGGGGAATCATCCCGATCCCAACATGACAACAACTGGTTGGTGGTGACTGGAACCATGGAATTTTATATGACTTTCCATATGGGAATAATATGCAATTATAGTGGTTTAATGAATTTTAATGGATTTTCCCATATACATTTGGAATTTCATAATCCCAACTGACGAACTCCATCATTTTTCAGAGGGGTAGGTCAACCACCAAGCAATTATTCTTATGGCCAGATTCCAGTTTGGACCAAAGCACAGCAGCCAGGAAAGTGGTAATGGCTATAGCGGTTATGGAGGATCGAGCCCTGCGTCACGTATCTAAGCTGCAGCAACGTCTTGAAACAAAAAGTCACGAACACTTCATGAAAATCCCATCAATCAATGGGGGTATTTTGCTATAAACCAACCATTCGAGAATGGTTTATATCTATACATATTTATACCACCTATTAAAATGGTGAACTTTGGGGACGGTTTATTGTGATTTACCCACCTGAAATCACCATTTGATCCCACCAAAATTGGACACGAGACTCTGCTGGCGCTAGCAGCGCCAAAGGTACTGCTGTACTCATAGGCCGAATCAAGTCCTTCGACAGCGAAAACTATGGCTTCATTGAATCCGATTTGGTCTCCTCAGCGTGCTTTGGATTTCATATATTTCATGGGATTGGGTTCAAAATGTTCAAACAAAACAATTCAACGCATGTATTTTTTGATGCAGTTTGATGTAGGTTCTGTTTTTCAGGCGAAGTTGTTCGGGGTCTATCAATCCCATGTTTAGTACGGGGAATGGGATTATTAGCCATTATCACCCATAGTAATCATTAGCCATCATCAGCCATTGCTATGTTTTATTAAGTCATTAGCCATTATCAACCATTTTTAACCATTTTTCATATGGATAACCAAGACTAGGATGGTCTATTTGGTCATTTCCGTGGCCTTCTGGGTGATGGAAATGATGGTTCACGAGGTGTGGATGTGACGCCGTCACGGGGGAAGATTTGAGTGATTTCGAAGTGGGCGAAACGGTGCTATTTGAAGCGCGCGGAAAGAGGGGGGGGTGGCAGGTGGCCCTGGCCGATTTGAAATGTGCGAAGTGTTTTTTTCCACGGAAGCAAAATGGCTAGGAAAATCTAGGAAAGCTGGAAAAACATCTGGGACATTTGATTTGAACAGTGCCCTGGTTGACTTTTCTTCACAGCATTGTTACAAAGGATGGGTTGGTCTGTTCACTTACTGGCCTGAATTTGAAGGGCTGTAATTCCAGGATGAGTAAGTTATTCCAATGGTGCCATGACGATGAGATATACGATGTCTTTCCACTACATTTTCTAAGGGGCCAAACACTAAAAATCAAAGATGGACTCCTGAAAATAGTAAACATCATTTGTTCCTACTGGACGTCTTTATGTTGGATAACAAGCGCAGTTTCAGGTGACTATCCAGGGGGAAGACATGACTGTTTTTTCATAATATAATCCTATTTTTTCCTGTCCAATCCTAGAACTGCAGCCGGAAACAAAAACATGGACAACTAGGTGTTTTGGTTTCTTGATGTTTATGTGCTAAAAGTGGGAATCATTGTTTCATGATTTTGTTGTTTAATGGATTTTTTATGAATTTATGGGAATCTTGTTGAGCCGGAATTGCTTTGCATAAATTTCGGCTGAACTAATCAACCCTTTGCCTCAGCCCACTGAATACACATTTGCAAAGCAGGTGAGCTTTGCTCACAGCCGCCAGCCACAAGCACGCTATGCCACCTGGCAGGATTTCACCAGGGGGTGACATCTCTGCCCAACCTGGTTATTTCACATAGCTACGGTATAGATGACCCAAAAAAAACGACCCATTTAGGTCGATAACATGTAGCTATTATTTTAATGGTGATGTTCCATAGCTATGTTAAATAACCGAAGGGTTTATTGTATGTATATATATATATGCATGTGAAATGATATGATCATATGATATTCAGATGATCCTTTTTTTGAACCGTACTCTTCCACTGAAATTGACTGTTTGGTGTTTTGTGGTCACCGTGTTTTGGGCCGAATTGGAACCCGGAAGTTCGTCACGGCCGCAGATACTCCGACTGTGGGGCATCGTGAATCTATGACTTGCTTCCCTATCCGAATAGATCAATCACCATGGTGACTCATGGTTGCAGAGTTTGATTCTGCCATATTCTTATGTTCCTTTTCCGAAGCAGTCATTGATCCATTGATCGCTGCCCAGCTCCAATGGCTCTAAGGTCCGAAGGTGTGCTATTTGATCTCTTTATTTTAGTGATCCTGGATCATCATGTGCAGGGCTAGGCCGGGCAACTGAGGAAAGATCATGAACGATCATATTTCAAGATCTTCGATCATCAGCAAACATAGCAAATTTGATCCTCGAAGAAAAACGTCGGAGCTGATCCGAAAAAACTTCATGAGCTATCATCATATCCCAATGATGAGCAGCTGAAATTCATCTTATTTTTGAAAGATCTTCACCAGGGTGACGGATGGTGCAATCCTTGCCGGCTCCTGCAGGTCATTTTAAAAGCCGCATGCCGCAGCAGCAGCATCGATTTCTGGAAAAAGAAGAGCTTGTTGCCGGAGAACTTCACGAAAATCTTACCATCTGGTTATGACTAACAGTTTGCCATGGAAAATCACCATGCTATCAATAGGTAAACCATCTATTTCTATGGGCCATTTATGCCATGGCTATGTTAAATACCCAGAGGGTATCTCAGATTGCAGAATAGCAATCTCCCAAAATCAAGGAAAGCTACGGCATGCCAAGATCCTCATATATCCCATGATTGATACCCACATGGTATCACCAGAAGTATCCCCAAAAAAAATCGCTCATCAAAAATCAAAAACGAATCCCATCCTCAAATTTTCCGAAATTACCACCATGATGGGTTACCCCCATAATTTCTGGGTGGATTTTTTGATGATTTTTCATGTGAAGGAAGGAAGGGATATTCCGATATATCAACCCATTCTATTGTATTATCGATATACACTCCCACTACCCTTTGGTAATTTAACATAGCTATTGAAAATGGCACATTTATAGTTGATTTACCTACTAAAGATTGTAATTTTCCATAGCTATGTTAGTTTACCAGAGGGTATATCAACATTATTCCATTATATCGAATATCTCGGTAATGTGCGGGTGAAATGTAAGCCATTTTACCAATGTCTCCATTCATATCCCAGTAAATCACCATTTTTGATGGTTAAACCCAATTAAACCAATATATAAATTGGATATAATATATATATATTATCCAATTTATATCCTAACATCCCATTGTTCATTGGATTGGTTTAAGGATGTTTACGGGAAACACATCAGGAAACCTCCATGTTTGATGGTAACAACTCTTGTTTCCTGTAATTTTTCCCTTAAACCAATGCTTTGAATTACCAGGAATTCACTCGCGAAACTGCTTCCCGCATGCCAAGGTGGACATTCAAGAGAGACATGTCAGGCGTACCACGTTCGGCTAGCCCAGTTTTGCATGGCTTGAATGGACAAATCGAAGGGTCCGAGTTGGTTGAAAAGCTTAGTAAATGTGGTAATCACACGTAGCTGGCTCGGAAATCTTCTAAACATATCTACCCATAGGATCCATGTATGCTATATATGGTAACATTTACCATCAATATACCCCCAATGTTAGCATATATACCATACATGGATCCCCTGGGCTATAAATGATTATTAATGGAGGTGTTCAGCTGGGAAAATCATCTCGAACCAAGTTTAAGTTTAAGGCAACGGGAAATTGTCCATTGCCATCTTTGATTACTGGAGGGTAAAACCAATAAAAACAGCAACGATGGTATACCAAACAATGTGGTAATTTTGAGGTAAATGTTGATGGATTAGATGTTGATAGATGTTGATAGGTGCAGAATATGAACATATTGCTCTGTTGTTTCGATAAATGCATAGTTGATAGACTTTGACAGATATAGTAGTAGTGATAGGGGTAATCATAGTAATAACAGTCATAGTAGCAGACATTAAAATTAATAACACGTGCTTTACTATTGTCCATCCAACATTAATAACGGTAGTGGCAATTTTCGCAACACCAACTGGGAAAAATAAGCTGGATAGAGATGGTCCATATTTCGTGGATGTGCCCGTGATGGCTATCTGGTTGGTGGTTTGGAACATGAACTTTATGACTTTCCATATGTTGGGAATGTCATCATCCCAACTGACGAACTCATATTTTTCAAGAGGGGTAGGTCAACCACCAACCGGCTATATAGTGTCATAGCTCCTACCACCTTCCTACCACACTTCTTTTTCAATTGCCCAACAAACTTGAGATGAATCACCAATCCTACAGCAGGATGATGTTGATGATAACGTCCAAAGGAGGCTCATTTCACCGCGCAGGTGCAGTGTTTTATGACATTGGTGCATTTGGGCGTTAGCATGTCCCAAGACAGTTGTCTGAGAAAAATCAGCCGGAAATACGAACCCTCTGCGGACTTCATGCGTGTCGCCCTTTTCCCATTATTCACTTTTTTGGGGAGTCTGGAGAGCCATGTGCACTTCTCTGTAGGGTATGAATCTCTACATGAAATCCTAATAGGAGTATAGTTAGTTGTTCCACAGGGGTTGATTTTATCAATATTGTAGAACTGATGTAAACCCCAAATGAAGCCCTGCCAATGGCAATATACCCTTCTGAATCGTCTTGGTGTTCTCTCCCCATGGTATGGGAAAAAACCGTGGCACGGGGATGATGGTATGGTTCCAATGGGTTGCCAGTCAAAACTTCGGTGGAAAAAGCCATGGTTTCCTATACCTCCAAGTGCCATGAAGATTGATATGTTACTATATGTTACTATGTTACCCCATAATTTCAGTACTTTTTGCCAATTTTGTATAGGTAGCAGATCTTGCAGGCTCTACAGGTAGATTTTCCCACGAAAGCAGTTTTCACCAGTGCGACCTAGGGAGTGGCTGGTGGCGAAAAACCAAGAAACCGAAGAAGCAGTTGGGGGAAGCCCAGTGGCAATGTCAAGTGGCTGGGTGCCGGCTTGGGGAACCTAATGTATTTGGGTAAACACCATGGGTTTTCTGATGTTTGCTGTAGATTTTCTCTTAAATCCATTGATCAAACTGGAACCATGTTACTTGTTTTGTATTGTTTCCTTGTAGTCAAAGATAGTCAAACACGGCTAGCCAGATTTTGAGCCCAAGATGTGGTTCCAGGATTTTGCCGTGCAAAAGCTGTAGAAGTTAGCATCTCCCCAAAACAAAATGCGGAGAATCGTAAAATCCATTCCTAGAATAGTGGCAAATGATATAAGTTTTTTTTTTGAGAGAGATATGCAGTGTATTTGGGATTACTATCATACAATATGTATATTTATATATGATGGTTTCCTAAAATAGGACCCCCAAATCATCCATGTGATTGTCGGATTTTCCCTTATAAACCATCCATTTTTGGGTATCCCCATTTATGGAAACCCCAATATGTAGATAGATAGTAATCGCCAAAAGGCACCATGTAGCAAAAAAATGATAGTAATTCTGCTGCGATAAAAGAATATATGTATCCATAGAATATATATATATATAGATAGCTAATAGTAATCCCTACACAATTCTACAGTATAGTTCTATTAATTCATACTATCATACAATATATGTATATATACCCAATATATATGTAGATAGTAATGAAAGTATATTGTACTTATAACATTTATAAATATTTATCACATTTATAATAAAAGTATAATATACATATATACATATATAATATATACATTTTATATAGATAGATATCTTCCCAGAAAGGCACCATGACTTTCATGACTCTTCTGAGGTCAACGACATGTTAGGCACCATTGTGGCGTTGGCGACCCAGATCTCACCCCGGGACACCTCCTCGGAGTTGTCCCAACCATTTTTCGAAAGATCCGGTGAGAAAAATAGTTGGTTGATATATGGATAATCTATGGCTAATGGTTAACATCAACAGGGGTTTACCATCAACAGGGGTTGATGTACATACAAAAAGCTATTGAACATTGCCCATTTATAAATATAGTCATTGTGCACATTGTATATCCATAGTTGCTATATATGTTACCCTCTGGTTATGTCAAAATAGCTATTGAACATGGCCCATAGAAATCGTTGATTTACCGTTCTTAAAGATGGTGATTTTCCAGTTCGCTATGTTAGTTTACCAGAGGGTATAAGTTGGTTTATAAACCCTATTAACATCTATGAACTATAGTTACAAATATAATAAACCATAGTTATTGGAGTTATAAACCAACTTAGCTATCGAACGGGGGCCCCACATTGTAGTCTACTAATTTGGGGGGTACCCTGTGGTAACATACAAAAAACTATGGAAAATCAACATGTTTAATGTGTAAATCAACTATTGCTATGGCCATGTTCTATGTCGCAAACTGTAACAAATTACCGGAGGGTAGTTTCTAGCAATGTCATAAACCCCATATGGATTGATGGTTGTTACCACCCATGTTAAACATTGGGCTTGGTTTACTATTGCTGAAAAAACACATTTTTGTCAGTTGTTTTTTTTCCAACACGAACTTGACCATTGAAACATGGGCCCGGCCATCATTTTCGAGACACAACCATATGATATTATGCGTCACCTGTTTGATGTCTTCCTTTTTCGCTTTCAGTTCGACACCATTCGACCCATAGCCATTAATCTGGTAAATTTGATCACGACCGAGCCCTGCGACCGAGCCCTGGAATCATGGTTTTTATAGGGAAATCATCCCCAAATGGCCGCAAAATTCAGGTGAGTTACGATACTTGACATTACTTGACCCAGAATAGAAGCATTTTTTTCATCATTTCTTCACCATAGAGGCACGTTATTGGTGCATCATGGACACCCACCCAATGGGCGCACCTTTTTTTTGGGGCTGAGGTTTCCTTTGGACCCGCACGTTCGTGGGATCTCTGAGAGTGAAATCATCAAGGTGTGCCCCAGGTCGTTTATGACTTTCCATATATTGGGAACACCATATATTTTTCAGGGGTCGTTTATTTTATATGATCCAAATTCTGCTTGGTGGTTTGGAACCATGGAATTTTATGGCTTTCCAGAAACAGTTGGGAATATCATCATCCCAACTGACGAGTTGTCATATTTTTCAGGGGGTAGATATACCACCAACCAGCTGTTAATCATGGCTGAATGGAGGTTTCTTAACATGGGGGATCCTTAGTCGATGGGGTTAT